TTAGAGTCAAGGAAACATGTGCAGGTTTCTTAAAGGCTATATTGCATGACGCTGAGGTTTGGGGTACAATTGAACCCATCACACAGTTAGTGAGCACAGTACCCAATAAGTAGTTTTTCTATCCTTGCTCCCCACTTCCTAGCCCTCTTTCAGTACCCCAGTGTCTATCATTCCCATCTTTATGTCCACATGTACCCAATGATTAGTTCCCACTTATAAGTGAGAACATGTGGTGTCTGGTTTCTGCATTAATTCGCTTAGGATAAAGGCCTCTAGCTGCATCTATGTTGCTGCAAAGGACATGATTTTGTTCTTATTTATGGTAGCATAGTATTCCTTGGTGTATATGTACCACATTTTCTTCATCTAATCCACTGTTGATGGGCACCTAGGTTAATTCCATGTCTTTGCTATTGTCAATAGTGTTGCAATGAAGATATGAGTGCATGTGTCTTTTTGGTAGAAGGATTTCTTTTCCTTTGGGTATATATACCCAGCAGTGGAATTGCTGGGTCAAATAATAGTTCTATTTTAACTTCTTTGAGAAATCGCCAAACTGCCTTTCACAGTGGCTGAACTAATGGGCACTCCCACAAATAGTGCATAAGCATTCTCTTTTCTCCGCAGCCTTGCCAACATCTATTGTTTTTTGAATTTTTAATAATAGCCATTCAGACTGGTATGAGATGGTATCTCACTGTGATTTTGATTTGCATTTCTCTGATGATTAGTGATATGGAGCAAGTTCTCCTATATTTGTTGGCTGCTTTTACGTCTTCTTTTGAGAAGTGTCTGTTCAGGTCCTTTGCCCCCTTTTTTTTCTTTAAGTTCAGGGGTACGTGCGCAGTTTTTTTTATATAGGTAAACTTATGTTATGGGGGTTTGTTGTACAGATTATTTTGTTACCTAGGTATTAAGCCCAGTACCCATTAGTTACTTTTCTTGATCCTCTCCCTCCTCTCACCCTTCACCCTCCAATAGGCCCCAGTATCTTTTGTTCCTCTCTATGTGTCCAGGTATTGTCATAATTTAGCTCCCACTTGTAAGTGACAATATCTGGTATTTGGTTTCCTGTTCCTGTGTTAGCTTGCTAAGGATAATGGCCTCTGGCTCCATCCACATTCCTGCAAAGGACATAATCTTGTTCTTTTTTATGACTGTATAGTTTTCCATGGTGTATAGGTATCACATTTTCTTTAGCCAGTCTATGATTGATGGTCATTTTAGGTTGATTCTATGTCTTTGCTAATGTGAATAGTGCTGCAATGAACATATGTGTGCATGTGTCTTTATGATGGAACAATTTATATTTCTTTGGGTATATACCCAGTAATGGGATTGCTGAATTGAATAGTAGTTCTGTTTTTAGGTTTTGGAGGACCAACCACCACTAACAGTGTATAAGCATTCCTTTTTCTCCACAACCTTGCCAACATCTGTTATTTTTTAATAATACACTGGTGTGAGATGGTCTCTCATTGTGGTTTTGATTTGCATTTCTCTAATGATCAGTAATGTTGAGTTTTTCCATGATTTTGACTGCACGTATGTCTTCTTTCGAAATATGTCTTTTCATGTCCTTTGCCCACTTTGTAATATTTTTTCTTGTAAATTTCTTTAAGTTTCTTATAGATGTTGGATATTAGACCTTTGTCAGATGCATACTTTGCAAATATTTCCTTTCATCCTCTAGATTATTTGTTCACTCTATTGATAGTTTCTTTTGCTGTGCAGAAGCTCTTTAATTTAATTAGATCCTATTTGTCAATTTTTGCTTTTGTTGCAGTTGCTTTTGTTGCAATTGCTTTTGGTATCTTCTTCATGAGATTTTTGCGCATTCCTATGTCCAGAATGGTGTTGCCTAGGTTGTCTTCAGGCGTTTTTGTAGTTTTGGGTTTTAAATTTAAGTATTTAATCCATCTTAAGTTAATTTTTGTATGTGGTATAAGGAAGGGGTCCAGTTTTAATCTTCTGCATATGACTAGGCAGTTATCCCAGCACCATTTATTGAATAGGTAGTCCTTTCCTCATTGCTTGCTTTGTCAGCTTTTTCAGAGATTAGATAGCTGTAGGTGTGTAGCCTTATTTCTGGGTTCTCTATTCTGTTCTATTGGTCTATGTGTGTGTGTTTGCACCTGTACCATGCTGTTTTGCTTACTGTACCCCTATTTGAAGTCAGTTTGAAGTCAGATAGTGTGATGCCTCCAGGTTTGTTCTTTTTGCTTAGGATTGCCTTGGCTATTCAGGCTCTCTTTTGATTTCATATGAATTTTAAAATATTTTTTCTAGTTCTGTGATGAATGTCATTAGTAGTTTAATAGGAATAGTATTGAATCTATAAATTGCTTTGGGCAGCATGGCCATTCTAATGATATTGTTTCTTCCTATCCTTGAGTATAGAATATTTTTCCTTTTGTTTCTGTCATCTCTGACTTCTTTGAGGAGAGTTTTGTAGTTCTCCTTATAGAGATCTTTCACCTCCCTGGTTAGCTGGATTCCCAGGTATTTTATCTGTGTGTGTGTGTGGCACTTGTAAATGGGATTGCATTACTGATTTGGCTCTCAGCGTGGCTACTGGTGGTGTGTGGGAGTGCTAGTGATTTTTGTACATTGATTTTTGTATCCTGAGACTTTGCTACAGTTGTTTATCAGCTTAAGGAGCTTTTGGGCTGAAACTATGGCATTTTCTAGATATAGGATCATATCATCTGCAAATAGGGATAGTTTGACTTCCTCTCTTCCTATTTGGATGTGCTATATTTCTTTCTCTTTCATGATTGCTCTGGCCAGGACTTCCAATCCTATGGTGAATAGGAGTGGTGAGAGAGGGCGTCCTTGTCTCGTGTCAGTTTTCAGTGGTAATGTTTCCAGCTTTTGCCCATTCAGTATGATGTTGCCTGTGGGTTTGCCATTGATGGCTCTTACTATTTTGAGGTATCTTTCTTCAATACCTAGATTATTGGGAGTTCTTAACATAGAGGGGTGTTGAATTTTATCAAAAGCCTTATCTGCATCTATTGGTTTTTGTCTTTAGTTCTGTTTATGTGATGAATCACATTTATTGATTTGCATATGTTCAACCAACCTTGCATCCCAGGGATAAAGCCTACTTGATCATGGTCGATAAGCTTTTTGATGTGCTGCTGGATTTGTTTTGCCAGTATTTTACTGAGAATTTTTGCATCAATGTTCAAGGATATTGGCTTCAAGTTTTCTTTTTATGTTGTGCCTCTACCAGATTTTGCTATCAGGATGATGCTGGCCTTATAGAATGTGTTAGGGAGGATTCTTTCTCCCTCAATTTTGGTACCAGCTCTTCTTTGTACATCTGGTAGAATTCAACTGTGAATCTGTCTGGTCCTGGGCTTATTGTGATTGGTAGGCTATTTATTACTGATTCAATTTCAGAGCTCATTATTGGTCTGTTCAGGGACTCAATTTCTTACTGGTTAGGTCTTAAGGGTGTATGTGCCCAGGAATTTACTAATTTCCTCTAGATTTTCTAGTTTATGTGTATAGAGGTGTTCATAATATCTTCTGATGGTTGTTTGTATTTCTGTGGGGTCAATAGTAATATCCCTTTGTTTCTGGTTATGTTTATTTGGAGCTTCTCTATTACCTTCTTTATTAGTCTAGCTAGCAGTCTAGCTAGCTCCTGGATTCATTGATCTTTTACATTTTTTGTGTGTCTTAATCTCCTCCAGTTCAGCTCTGATTTTGGTTATTTCTTGTCTTCTGCTAGCTTTGGAGTTGGTTTCCTCTTGGTTCTCTTAGTTACACTGCTAGGTTGTTAAATTGAGATCTTTCTAACTTTTTGATTTGCACTTTTTAATGGGGTTATTTGTTTCTTGCTTGTTGAATTGCTTAAGTTCCGTATAGATTCTGGATATTAGACCTTTCTCAGATGCATAGTTTGCAAAAATTTTCTCCCATTCTGTAGGTTGTCTGTTTACTCTGTTGATAATAATTTATTCTGCTGTCTAGAAGCTCTCTAGTTCAATTAGGTCCCACTTGTCAATTTTTGTTTTTGTCATAATTGCTTTTAAGGACTTAGCCATAAATTTATTGCCAAGGCTGTTGTCAAGAAGGGTATTTCCTAGGTTTTCCTTGAGGACTTTTATAGTTTCCTTGAGGACTTGCATTGAAGTCTTTAATCCATTTTGAGTTAATTTTTGTATATGGTGATAGTTGTCCAGTTTTATTCCTCTGCATATAGATAGCCAGTTATCCTAGCACCATTTGTTGAATAGGGAGTCCTTCCCCCATTGATTATTTTTGTTGAATTTGTCAAAGATCAGATGGCTCTAGGTGTGCAGCTTTATTTCTGGGTTCTCTATTCTGTTCTACTGAAAAACCATCTATTTTACTGCAAACATGGCAACTCACTTTGGCACTGCTCTGGGGCCTCTCTACCAAGGTGCAACACTAAAGAGAAAGGCTAGTTAGTGTTTTTTCTCATCCTGCCACTGGCTGCCACATTGAATTACTGGGCTAAGGACTTAGTAGTTCCTAAAGCTTCAGGTGGTTCAGCACAAAGGCTGCCATCACTGGCAGGGTAGCATGGAGTTCCCAGGAGTGGAGTCCATTCCTGGGACCTGCATGGCAGTGGTCTTAGGGTCTGCTGGGCTCACATGGTGGAAGAGGACAGCACCCCACCATGCTATGCCAGGAAGCATGGACAGAATAGCAGTATGGGCTTGGGGATTGGTCTGGATACCTTGGGAAGACAGCACACATAGGACACCCTTGGGGACCCTAAGAATTATTTGGACTGTGAGCACTTTACAGAGGGTTGATGATCAACCTTATCATGTGGTGGGTTAATGGCGGTAAACTGTGGGCTGAGATACTCATGGACCTCATGTATCTTTATTAATGAGAACTGGGGACATTTGGATGCACATCAATTAATATCATATATTGTTCTCTGACTCCAAATTCAAAAACATGTTTTTTGATTGATCTGACACCAAAGAAAATAAAAGAAGACAAGGAGAATATTTTGCATGAACTAATTTGAGCTTCTTATTCATTCAAATGTTGTAACAATTAACAGAGGTGTACTACCTGGCTTTTTATGCTAGCATTTATGCTTGTTATCATTCCCAAATCAAGTTCACATTTAAGAAGTCATTACACATTTTCTGATGTATTTTATCTAAAAAAAGACATTTCTTGCTTTGGGAACCAAATGAAGACAGGTTTTTCATATCCCACTGAGTGACAAGTTCCACTCAGTACACAGAGATAAGATCTCCACAGTTGGTAGTTGAACAGGTGACCAGAAGCATGGAAAATGCAGTTCTTCAAACTGAGAAACACAGATTTGGAAGAAAGCTTACAATTCTTTTACTGAGTCTAAGTAATTCATCTGCCTTGGGAAGGGACACAGACAGCCAGATTAAGTAACCTTTTGCATGTTCACAAGTCAACTAGCAGCAAAACAGATAAATTAACTTGCTTCTAATACTCTAGGTCTTGCTTCCCACAAACCACGAATGCTTCATGAAAATCCTTTTAAATGTCTCCTAAAACATGTCCCCAAGCTCAACTTTTGCACCATACCTTGGAGTATGCTCTTTACTATGACTTCCGTGTGATCAGCCAGGAGATCTGCCTTGGTAATTGCAGCCAGAGACAGGTAGTTAGACATATTCCTACACAGTTCCTTGTTGCCTCTGTGGAGGAATTTCACTGCAATGGGGATGGCTAATGCCATCACTGGGGGTCGGTTGTAATTCTGAGGAAATATAAGAAAGCCACAAATAATAAGCGACTCATTATTCATTTATTCATTCATTCACTCATTCAAAAAATATTTATTCGATGAAGCTCCCAGAGTACAGCTGTGAAAACACAGGCCTTGCCCTGTTTATATTGTATTTGGGAATTCTGGGAACTCCTGGTTTTGTTTAAGAGACCTAAAGACAAACAGGCAGTTAACAGCATAAACTGATGACAGCCGAGATGGGCAAAAGGCAGGGTGCTAAGACAGCAGAGAAGGAGCACTCAATTCAGTTCTGGGGAATGTCAAGAAAGACTTCCTGGAGGAGGTAATGTCTTAGTTGGGACCTCATGGATGAATAAAAGATGGCTGGGTGCTGGCAAGGCAGGGAGTACACAGAAAGAAGGAAGAGTAGGTGTGCAGAGACCGAGGTGAGGGAGTACCTGATGGCACTGGGGAGTTGTAAATAGCTCAGGATGGCTGGAATGTGGTATGTGTGAGGAAATGGGAGTAGGAGGTGAGGGGAGAGACGGGGTAGGTAAACAGGGGCATGATTATGAAAGGCCCAGCATACCAGGCTGAGAAATTTGGAATTGATCTTTAGGGTAATTGGGGGCCACTGATGACAGGAATCACTTGTCAGATTTACACTTGAGAAAAAAACCTAAGGAATGTTGAACAAGTTGATTTTTGACTATATCTATCTTAAAAATTAAAGTTTCAGCTAATTAGATTCAGAGGAAAAAAAAATGAACGTAAGATTAAAACCTAAAGGTATTCTGGATCCTAAAATAATTCTCTTCTTGATTTACTTTGTGACTGAATATAAATATCCTTACATATAAAGTAGTCCTATTAGCATTTAGTTACCAAATTAAGGAATAATACTTAGAAAATACAAATTGTTTTCTTTTTTTTTTTTTTTCTATCACATAACATTTTGGTCAACGAATTGTTTTCTTAAAAATGAATGGTACATATTCACTGCCCCTGGCCATCAACCCCACCTCTCAGACTAACTGTAGAAAAAAAAACTGTGCGGTGCACAGTGTGTTTGGGAGAAATAGTCCTGGACTTCTACTTTTGCATTATTTGATGAGAGACAATGTTCTGTGTTGCTTAACCCACTGTTATATTTAGATCTTTGTTCTGTAACTGAGCTTGTATCCTGATTAATACAATGCAAAGCCAGGACCACTTTCATTCTTTAACTTTCCCTGTGGCTTAAAGAGAAAATTATATTCTTAGAATGAAATGTAGAATTCTGCCTTTATACATTCAAATCCTACAATAAGGACAAAAGAAAGGACATGAGATAAAAATTGTCATTGATACATACAACTCCTGAGCAATAGAAACGGGGCAGTTAGGTCAATGAGATATTTACATGGGGGAAAATAATATCTCCACCCCTGTATCTGCCGTAACTAAAATCAATTTCAGATAGATTGCAGATCTAAAGGTGAAAAATAAAACAAGACAGAGAAGACAACCCAGGAGAACATCTTCATGGCCTCAGAGTAGACAAATACTTCCTTAAACTAACTCAAAAATTAACAATAAAAAAGTCATAAAGTGGATAAAATCAAGAACTTCTAGTCATTAAGAGATACAATTTAAAAAGTAAAAAGATAATCCAAAGAATGAAAGAAGATATCTATAATATGTTCTGGGTACTAGTAAACCTTTGGATATATGTGTGTGTGTGTGTATGTGTATATATATATATAATATTATATATAATATGTTATAAATATAAAAGTATTTTTTTATATATATAATATATATATATACACACACACTCTTCCAATCCACAAGAAAAAGAAGACAGGCAATCAAATAGAAAAATAAGCAGGACTTAAACAGACACTTTACAAAATAAAGCCCCAAAACATGAAAATATGCTCAATTTCATTAATTTTTAATTTTGGTCTGGGTTCTGATTACAGGGTTGTATTTGGAGAGAATTCATCAAGATATTATATGACCTCTTTTCATATCACAAAAGCACAGTTATGTAATTTCAGATTTTAGCTATTCTTTTAAATAGATTCAAAAGTTAGTATGAATACAGGATTGCATGTTGTACACATGCATTATATAAACAACTCTTGTCTTAGGGTTCTACGAAGGACAATGACACACAGTGGTGGAGTCAATGCAGCCAAGAGTATAATAATGGTGGTGACAATGTCAGGAAAGTGACTTGTCTATTCACACTGAGTATGGGAATCAGGTAAAATAAATATTATGGGATACATGAGGCACTCAAATGTATGTTCCTTAAAGAGCTAATGAGTTTTGGGAGTGATAACATTCATATCTTGATATCCAGTCCAAAAATCTTTCCTGAAGTCACAGAAAATATCATTCTATGATTTTTCTCCGATCTCCATATCATCAGCCTTTTACACTCCTGCCCAATATACATTTATCTTTCTTCAGGAGACTCTGCCCTAATTCTTCTCTGTGAAACTGTCCAGGTGCTTCTAATGAAGGTATCTCTACCTTTGTCTTAAAGATGATCAAGTGACTCAGACACTGACCAATGAAAGAATCACATTTCCCTGGTTCAAGGATGGACAAGTTACCAAATTATAATTAAGGAGCCATGAAATGGTTCTGTGAAAGAGATTCTCTCTCCTGCTGTATTTAAAGTATTGAGAAGGGAGGATCAAAAGTAGTTGCCATCATCTTGTGACCTCAGTAGGAGACAAACTGTATGAGACTCAAGGAAACATGGTTCTATCTGAGAGACCAGATCCTGATAATACCATTTAAGCCCAATGCCTTTGGCTGTGCCTGAGGCCAGTTATATTCCTAAAGTTTTTTAAATGAGCCAATTAAATCTCTTGCACTTAAGCATTTCTGCCTCCCCAGTCACTAGAAACAAAAATGGAACTGATAAATCTTTAATCCATTCCTGCAGTTCCATCCATTTTCCAGACGCAGGGGTCAATCTGACCACTGGGCAGAGAAAACAGGTATTCCACAACCTAACCTGATACCCCACTAAGTCAGTTGTGTTGAAAACTCTGATGCTATTCTTTGGCGATAAATCATGTGTCTATATAGCAGTTCCTCTCAGTAGGCCTCTGTCCTACCCATCCTAGAGTTCTTAACATCATGGAAGTTATCAGAACCATAGCCCATAGCCAGTGTCCTCTGATGACTTTCCTGAATGCCTCTGTTTAGATTGTCTTCCCTCCCAGTGAATTTAATTGGGCCTGATCTGACTGATACGATGAGCTTTGAGACCTCTCTGAGAGGCTGGCTGCTCCCTTCCTCAGGGGTTAGTCCTCAGCTTTAGAAGTCAGGGCATGTGCTTGGTTGGAACACAAAAAATTGTTTGGATCCACTAAGGCTAACTCACACCAAAGGATTTCCAAAAGGCTGGTACATAACCAGGCATGCCAGTATACTCAACACCAGTGAGAGGCTTTCATAGGTCAGACCTAGGGTATCCCTTTCACATTTGCAGGATACCTAGGAGACAGATTAGAAACTAGAATGTTCATTCATGGACACAAAATGAGATCAGAGCAGAGAGAGATCCTAAGGGATATTTCATGTAGACCATGGTGAAACCTGATTAAAAGAAGACTCCTGCCCCGTAACTGAATCCCTTTCTCTGGTCATTGGAAGTTTCCTTTCATCAGATTCATTATTTTTCCTAGTGGTGCTGGACAAACATGCCAAAATAATGACACAACATTGAGCATCCTCTTTTTGTTAACATACTTATCAAACATCTGGTGTTTAGAAAACCTAATTGATTTGGTCATTTTTTCTCAATTATATTCTGTCCCTGCTCCCTTGACTTACATCCAAGAAAGTTACTTATTAGAGCACTGGGTATTCCTCAAACATCTCAGTCTCACCTATGCAATTTCTTGGGTTGCTCCTATAGGCAGCCAATCTCTTCCTTGCATGTAGGTTTCTGCTAGTTCAACTTTTAGATGACACATCCTTGTCCCTATCATCCTTGTCCCAGCTTTGAGGGTTGAACACAATGACACAATTATTCTCAAAACTTTCCAACCAAGAACTCCACCCCTAAGTTTATTTTATCTACTCTGGGTCTTTCACCAAGAACAACTTGCAGATAGAGAGACATACATCTTCCATCAGAGGAATGCGTCTTCAAGCACGTGTACTTGTAACTTGCTGAGACACCAAAATTGTCAATTTTTTTGTTTGAGTGCATTAACTGGGAAGTGTTCCTTACTTTCTGTGAACACAGACAGAAATAGTGAAAGATCAATGGAAATCAGTATTCCCAGTAACTGATGTTACATAAACCTTGGGGTGAGTTAGCACTCACCAGTAATAATGAAAAACAGGTGATCTCAACCAATTTGATCGTATTCTTTTTTACAATTCTAGACGTTCTAGAGAAAATTAGTGGCCAGCCATTCAAGTCTCTGAAGTGGTTCCAAGTAAAGTATATAAAATCCCCCCAAAATATGTCTTTTTTTTTTTTAATTAACACACTCATTTTTTTTTCCTAGCACGGCATCTGGATATCTTTCATATGACAAAAAAGTGAAACAAGCAAAGAGCAAATAGTTCATACAAACACCAAGAAACTGCTACAAAAGGCTCTGAATCACTAGACAGTGTCTAGACAGTTTCTGGTGTATCAAGAAGCCCTGGGCAAACGGCTGAGGGGCTAAGATGAGCCTGGACAAACAAGGGTCCCATGGACCTAACAGGTACCAAACAACATCCAGTGGCTGAGCTTCACTTTCAAGGGCAGCAAAAGGAGTTGGTAATGCAGGAGATCTCAAGCCCATGAAATTATTTCATCTCTAGAATTATTTGGGTCACAGAAATGCTAATGGCATGCATACAGAGAAAGCCCTATGATTACAGTTTTACAAACAAATGACTTTAACAGCAGCTGATAATGCCAGAGCCTATGACAGACCTTGCTTCTCAGTGCAGATGTGAGCATGTTGGATGAATATCATCTTACAGTTTGGTGCTGAGGGAACAAATTCAGTGAAGTGCAG